CAAGACGAGCCTCCAAGGCACAGGACAATGTCCAGGTCTCGCTACCATATAGCAAAACTGGCATTATCAGGGCCTTGAAAACCCGAAGCTTGGTCCTTCTGCACAGGTACCGACATCTCCAAATACTCTTCTTGAGAGAGTTCATGACCCCTGCTGCCAGGCCAATCCGTCTGCTAACTTCATGGTCTGACAGCCCAGAGTTATGAACTACACTACTAAGGTATGTAAAGCTCTCTGTGACTTCAATGTCCTCGCCGCAAGCACGTACCCACTGAACAGGTTCTCCTATCAAGTCCCCAAATTCCTGGACCTTGGTCTTGGTCCAGGAGACCTCTAGACCCAGGGGCTTCGCTTCATTGCTAAATGCATCGAGAGCCGCCACTAGGGTTTCCAAAGACTCAGATAGAATGGCAACGTCATCAGCAAAGTCAAGGTCTGTAATCTTGATATTGCCCAGCGTTGCCCCACAATGACTTTGAACAGTAGCTCTGCCCAGTATCCAGTCCATGCAAGTGTTGAAAAGAGTTGGTGCAAGGACACAGCCTTGCCTCACTCCTGAACTAACAGGAAAGAAGCTCGACAGGCCCCCACCACACTTTACAGCACTTTCAGTACCAGTATACAGGCTTGCTTTTAGTCCAATAATCCTTGTTGGTATTCCTCTCAGCCTCAGGATCTCCCAAAGTGACTCCCGATGCACCGTATCGAGCGCCTTCTTGAGGTCGATGTAGGCTGCAAGCAGCCCACGCCCGAACTCACGGCGGCACTCTACAATGACTCGAAGCGCGAGGATACGGTCTATTGTGGACTTACCAGGAGTGAATCCGAATTGCTCCAGTCTCTGGTGCCTCAGTAGATGGTCTCTGATACGTCTCAGAAGGATGTGGGCGAGAACCTTGCCTGGTACACTGAGCAGTGTGATGCCTCGGTGATTGCTGCAGTACTTATATACTCATAATATTCCTAAACTAACATCCTTGCAAATAGTTTAATTTCTCTGCAAACTATTATAAGCATCAAATATATAATGTCAACTAAAATTATGAATCATCTCTATGAATGGCCCCCCAGTCATGAGATTTCAAACAAGGGCCTTGAGTACATATAAATAATGGCGGATCTCAAATCTGTTTTCTGTAATACATATATGCAATGATGGAATTGATGTCAAACAAATTGCAACAAGAACAACGAAAGGAAGAACAAGATAAAAAGGCCTTTGGCATATTAGTGTGTTTTTTGTTCTTCCCTTGGTTGTTCATGTTGCATAAGTAATGATGCATCTAAAACCTGTTAAGAAAATAGGACTTCAAGGAGAAAGAAAACTATTTTTTTCCTTTTCTTTATTCTTTTGAGGGAATTATCCAAAGTATATACCTGTATTACTGCACCCAGGAAAATATTTTGGAGATAAAACCTGACCAGACTTTGTACATTTCCTTTTACCTAATGATGAGAAAAGGGACAGATTCCTGGATTCTCAAAATGATCTGTTGTGTCATGTTTTTTCTTCTTCTTTTTTAATGATTATATGTAAATGCCTTTTTTCCAATTCTCAAAACACCAAATATAAAGCAACAGATTTTTTTGTCTCTAATACTTTTAGTCATAATCAACTACAACAAAACTGCACACAAAACATGAAGTACAGAAAAAACTAAAACAAACCAAAATTGAACTGTTCTTCACATTTCCCAAATCCATAATCATAGAAATACAGAAATATCTAGTGTAAGAAAAACAGCAAGATACAGTGAAAAGTCACAAACAGAGCTCTGTATTACCAAAACGTTATGCATACAATTCACCAACATGGAATTAAGTGATCCAAATCTGACTTAACAGAAAAGGCAATTAATTAGTGGAAATGCCCAGGAAAGCTAAATATCTGCAGTGGGTGATGTGTACAAAGTGCAGAGATGGATACACAAGAGAGGAATGAATGTATTTTCCTCAAGGCAAAAGAAATTTCATAGATGAGTCAAAAATGAAAGATAAAAGAAAAAAAGAGAAGAAAACTTTTGACATATGGTACTGCAATTCACATTTACACTGCAATGTGTTCCAAGTGCATGGACAGGAAAGCTATTTCCAATATGATCTTTTGCTTGGCTTTCCTCTATATAATACATTCTCTTGTACTGTACTTTCTTTAATTTAAATTCTCTACAACCCAATGCTAATCCCTAAAATATGTTTTTTTTTCTCTGCAAGTTTACCTATTTCTAGCTAAACAAGGCTCAATGAAAGTGTAGTAAAGTACATTATCTCTTTACCTCATCATTATCAGATATTGATTATCTAAGCTACCTTTATAAAACCTAGACAGTAGCAAATTTACTTTAAAATTTCCATATCACATTAAGATAAAAAGTTTTGCTTGCCATCCTCTTCATATCAATGGGATTTTTATGTATGTCAATATATATTAAAAGTGGAGAAAAAATCAAGATGCATTTATCCTATCATCTTTGAAATTATGTCAAGATAACTGATAGCTGTTTCATCTTTTGCTACAGTGCCAGTGTTAAGGTTTCATGGCAACAAAGAAGACACTATCATATTCATACTTCAGCATTGACCGAACATTTTGGGTGTAAGCTGTATGCATCCCAGTTTCTTCAACCTGGAAAACAGATATTCAAGTAAATAAAAATAGTACCAAGAAAAGTTAACAATAATTTTCTCATCAACACTTCTAGCAATATCTGACTGTTTATATTTCACTCCGATTAAACTTTACGCAAAACCAACAACATATCTTTTCATAGCCTTCAAAATTAGCACAAACACTTTGCATTAAATAAAAGAGTAAGCCTCTAAATATATAAGAACATTTGAAGAGTACAAACATACAAGTATCAAACAAACTTACAGTAATTTTAAACCCAACCCCTGTTAGAATGTTTTTGACCTCTTCATAGCTGGGTTCAATAGAGCGTTCTCCTGGTTGGTCGGCAAAATGGTACAGCAAAGGTCCAAGGTTTACCCAGTAGCCTCCTGTATAAAATATATCATTGTAAAATCTCATGGTCAGACAATTACTTCCCTGTAAATCTTTGTATATCATCATGATAAAAATCACATAGTCTGTTACAAAATTCATAAGAAAACATATTGTTTCTTTAGAAATTTACAATTTGCTTACACCAAAGGTGTTCAGTTTGTAATAATTTCAGGTAACTTACAAAGTCATCTTTAAAAACTACAATATTAAATGTAAATTTTAAATGTAAAAATTGGGAGTTTCCTCACCTGGCTTAAGAATCTTAAATATGGTCTCAATAAAGTCCACAATATTGTTGGCACAGTCAATGAAAAAGCAGGTTGCTACACAATCCCAGGTGGCCTCATCCGTGTAAATCTAGAATGGTAAGGCTGAGGTATAATGTCAAGTAGAAGTTACACAAATTACAAATTTCAAAGTAATACTTTTCTGTTCAAGTAACCATGCTCTAATTTTCAGCAATAATCCATTGCCCTGCATATACTTGTTTCATCTGAAGATGTTTAGAACATGCTACCAACCAGAAAAAAATATTGGTCAAGATGGCAGATATGTTCAAAGAACTGTAATCATTAATTGGGAGTGGACCATTATTATGTATATATGTATAGACAGACTTCTGAAGACAAACCAAATCACTGTTTCTGTTAATACAAGTACATCTATGTGGTTCTCATTTAGCTATCCTGCTGACCTGAGTTCAAGTCCTGCACTGTCAGTGTACAGTAATCCTAGGTATGCCTTATACAAAAGAAGTAATTCATAAGCACAGTAAACATAGCCTGTCACAAAAACCTGGATAATAATTATTCTAATTACTATTATTCCAGTATCAAATGTTAATTTCTTTGATTCTGTGACAGCACATCTCAGGCGATATTAATCAATCAATAGACTAACGCTAATGGGAGTACATAGCAGTGTCCAACTTTTGATTCCATCCATAAGGGAAATGCCAGGCAGGCTCTCAGCCCATACCTAGCTCCTTACAACAGATATGATTAATCTGCCTAAGCCAGTACTTCCTAAATCATCCCATAGGCCTCTTCTATCTAGGGTTGTCTCAGGAAGAGAAAACCTGGTGGGCAGGATCAAACTTTGGGGAAGCAAGCTAGCTGCCTGTATTGCCTGAATTAGCAATTCTGGATTGTGCGTGATAAGTCTTAGCTGGTTCACTGTGTGACTGCTGGCTGGACACCTTGTACTGCTGGATGTTCACCATGATAAAGCAGAAGAATCAGTTACAAAAGTCATACAAGACAAGACTAAGGCACAGGATAGCATCCAGATTATACTTCCAAAAAACAAATTAGGCAATATAAGGGTCTGTGTGACTTCAGAATTCTTGCAACAAGCATATATATACTAACTGTACAAGTTCTCCCTGCAGAGCCCCAAATCCTAGATCTTGGACTAAATGCTTCTAAAGATGCCACTGGGGTTTCCACAGACTCAGATAGGATATCATCATTATCAGCAAAGTCAAGGTCACTGACCTTGATATTGCCTAATATTGCTCCACAATGACTTTGGATGGTAGATGTAGCCAGGATCCAGTCTATACAAGTGTTGAAAGGTACTGATGTAAGAACAAAGCCTTGCCTCATTCCTGAATTCACAGGGATGAAGGTCTGACATGCCCTTATCATATTTTGTAGCACTTTCATTATTAACAAACAGGCTTACTATTAATTCAATAATCCTTGTTGGATCTTTCTTCAGTGTCAGGGTCTCCCAAGTGACTCGTTATTCACCGTATTGAATGTCAGGATACAGTCTACTGTGCACTTGTCAGGAATGAATCCAGATTGTTCCAGTCTCTTCTGCTTTAATAGGTGATCTCTGATATGTCTATGATGGATGTGAGTGAGAACCTTCCCCGTTATGCTGAGTATTGTAATGCCTCTGTAATTGCTGCAGTCCAATAAATAATCATTCCCTTTCCAGGGAATAATAACACACACCCCCAGCAGGTCCAGGGGAATGACACCAG